GTTTTCAAATTTCTACCCCCCCTTCCACTTTTGTTTTAACTTAGAGGAGGTGGGTGTGGCAGTCTCAGAAAAGGAAACTAGCTGTGTAATAATAATATTAATGGCACCAAGTGTATACTGCAAGCCAAGTGCTGTTCTATCTAAATGCTTTATATACAATGATTTCCTTAAATTCTCACAATAAAGCAACAAGAAGAGACACAGCCCTACAGAAGAGGAAACTGAGACACAGAAATTAAACAACTTGCCCAAGGTCATACTGAGAAAGTCATGGTGCCAGAATTCTGACTCAAACATTTTGGTTCCAGTCTTCTGCCCTTTTTTAACTAAGCAAAAAAGGAAGCTGGAGAAGAACTGTACCCTGGAGATGCCAGCAGCCTCCAAGGAGCTCCCCGTAAACATCCCGGAGGAACGGATGTCTGCCAGCAGTCTCCACCGTAGTTTCTCTTTTCCCCTTTGCAGCCTCAGAGCAGGCTGAACTCACAGCCTTGAGCACCTGTCCCTGTGCATCTTTCTCTCGGCTCTGTTGAGCGACCCATCTGGCCACACTGACTGGTGGGCAGGTGACAGACTGGCACGTAGCACGTGGGCTTTGGCATGCTTGGGGTCTCTGCAGCAGTGCCAGCTGCTCCCGTTGTGCGAGACGGCTGCCGGCAGTGTGAACAGGAGGGCCACCAGCAGCAGTGAGTCTCATCGTAAGAACACAGCTGGCAGTCCTCCGGGAGAGAAAATCTGGGGTGAGCCAGGGCCTCTGGAAGATGTGGGGTCTTCCCATCCCCCACACCCAGCCTGAGCTGAACGGAGGACAAACTAAGAGTCTGGATGTTTGGAGAGACATGAGGGATGGTCAGGTGTCAGGAGGACAGGTGGGTTTAACAACAAGGGGGGCTTGGAGTGAGGGTGAACACCAGGGCAGGAAGACACTCAAAGCAGCTGGAAGTAGAAACGGCAGACCACAGCCTCAGCCACTTAATGTTCACAGGCCACAAGGCAGCATCTGGCTAGTCACTCAGATCCTCTAACAGACAAACCACCAAACACACACACACACACACACACACACACACACACACACCCTGGCTGGACAGACTTCCAGATGGACAGGATCCCAGGGAAACACCCAGCGGGACAAACAGACGGATTACTGACAGATGGGAAGACCCTCAGCCAGACATCCGAATAGACCTATGGCCAGAGAGACACCTGAGCCCCCCAGCCAGGCAAAGGTCAGAATCCCTCAAGGACAGGCTCCCTCCCCGAAATGGACAGAGACGTTACCCCAGAGGAGAGAACACACCACCCACCTAGTCACCCAGACCTTCAGCTGGACAACATGTCCTCCACCGGTCAGACAGACCTCAGCCTATGAGGACAGACCCTCAACAGGATCCCTGCTGCTGGACAGAGATCCTGTAGCCCATAATGACTGCCCTTAATAACTATGTGTGCTCAGGGGCTTAGCCTCCATAACTTTCCCAGCAAATGTACTTATTTTCTGAAAGCTCACTGACGCGTCTGTATTCTACCTCCCTGGCTCTCCATGGCCATCCACAAACCCTCAGAGATTACACCGAGAGTCACTGTCGCGCCCTGAGCAGAGCTCTCCATGACTTTCCAGACTCTTCTGAACCTTCAGTTACTAACACTTTAAATCCTAATGGCCCCACGATTCCTTTCACTTCTTGTCCCAGGTATCCACTGGCCTCCCAATGACTGTCATTAATATCCACTGACACCCCCCATGAACATCCAAGGGACCCCAGCTGACTTCCAGTGAATTCCCTATCACCACCATCCTAAATGATTACCACTGACCTCCGACCTCCCTTAGAATGCTCCAAGATGAAACATAAATGATGACCATGGATTTCACAGCGACCCCTGCAGACCTCACAATAAATCAAACAGCCCTGGCTGCTGACCCCACAGACCCGCTTTGATCCCTCCATCCCTTAAGCCAAGGTCAGCAAACCACACCTTGTAGGCCCCACACACACACTAGAATAATTCATGACACATGAAAATTACATGAAATTCTAATTTCTTTGTTCATAAACAGTTTCACTGGGACACAGCCACACTGTATACTGTCTGCTTTCACGCTGCCACAGCTGAGTTAAGCAGCTAGGGCAGAGATGGCAAAGCCAAAACCACTTCCTACCAGGCCCTTTAGGAAAGTGTGCCTTCAACACTCAGATGGCTCCTAGTGAATTAAATTCACCACCTGACATCCTGCCCCTGTTGAACCTTCAAAGACTCAGGCACACATCCAGGCCCCAATGCTACCTTTCAACCCCTCAACGACCTCCAACCAGTGTCCACTGACGCCCGTTCCACTGACACCCCCTCTTAATTCTTCCCACCTGGGCGAGAAGGGGGCTGACCTAGGCCTGTCCTTGAGACCCGGGTGCCAGTCCGTTCTCTCCAGCCTCCCCTCGGTGATCCCGGAAGCCAGCTCGTCTCTAACCTCCGCACACTTTCCGCGGATGGGCGTGAAGGCCGAGCGCC